CCCCACCCCCATTAAGGTTTTTCTTGAATGGCGCTTAAGGGCCTTCTCACCACTGGACTTAACACCTTTCACACTGAATAAACACAACACAGAGATGAAACCTAAGTTTGATGTTGTAAAGTGGGTTATTTCAAGCAGAGAAAAAGGGGCTTTAATTCCCTTAAGTGGAAAACCACTCATAAATCATTGAGCAATGAAGGTTTCTTCTCCAAACAGAAAGCTTAAACAAACCGAACCCCCAGCGTCTCACTTCCACCCCCCTCCCCATCCATCACCGCTTCTTTGGTTGTCCTGGAGGGGCTTTTTTATGAGGAAAGAAAAGAAACCATTTGGACAAAACGGGACAAGGGCAAAAAGAAGCAAAAACAAAAACTTTAATCCTTTGTATTGTCTTTACACTCAGACGGACAAAGAAAAAAAATGCTGTCTCCTCATGCAGGAGTGGGAAGACACAAGTCAGTTAACTTACAACACACTGGGAACAAAAGAGCATTCTCAAATCTTATGGGGTTTCTTCTGTTCAGACGTGAGCGTAGAGAGAATCCTGAAGGGGTTTGCAAAACGAGCGCTGATGGGAGTTTTACCACAAACTGTCAACCGGCATCAACAACTCAAAGACAAATAAAAGTATTTCTGTTTTCTTTATCTGTTGAATAAAAGAGGTCTTTAACGTGTTTCGTGTTTTTGTCAAGCTGATTCAGAATTTCATCTGTTTTCAGTTTAATGGCATGGACATGATTTGATGCTGTCGTCATGGAGGAAGAATAACAGCGTTGTTACCAGATAATTGTCACAGCATATTGTTTGGTGCCATGCACAGTGCTGGCTCCAAACACAATTGTGTTGTTATTACCTGAGTGTGCTGACAGTAAACCTTCAGGGGCAGGAGATGCTTGTATTTAACACCTGCACTGAACAAAAGGCCAGCTGAACCTTCTTTTCTTCTTTCAACTGTTCCCTCTTCAGGGGTCACAGCAGCAAGTCATCCTCTTCCATCTCACTCTGTCCTCGCTCCAGCTATGTCCTCAAACATACAGTATATCTGCATCTCTAACATCTTTGTATCACTGTCGTTGCTATGGACATGTCCAAATCATCTCAGTCTGGTCTCTAACTTCATCTCCCAGCCGTTCGACCTGTGGTGCACCTCTGATGTCGTCCATTTTTGTCCCTCCCAAGGGGAACCTCAACATCTTCAGCTCTGACACTTCCAGATCAGTCTCCTGTTTTTGTTTTCTCTCTACTCTTTTGTAAACTTTTCATTTGGCCTTTGCTGCACCGTTTTGTCACGAAGTTTGACTACTAGGCCTTCTGGTTTTTGTCATTTTTAATGAAAAGCTTAGATTTACTAAAATGTGTTGCCACTTTCTGTTTTATGAATTAGAGACTCTCAAACTGGGGTCTCAGGACCCAGGGGTTTGTGAGCTGTAAACTGGGGGTCCTCAAAATATAATAAACTGTTTTTTGTTTTTCATTAAAAAAAACTTCATGAATGCATAAGGGGAACAGTGCATCAGCAAAATAAAACACACTCAGCCAACAAAACAAAGTAATTATTCTAATGGAATTCAGGGATTAAAATGGCAGTGAATCATTTTTAAATCAGCGTGAGGTTTATGAGAGGGTCCCTGGAATATTCTCACCCCTGTAAGAGGTTCTCAGACCCAATAAATTTGAGAAACCCTGTTATAAACAATGAAACTCAAATTTATTCATAAAGTTTTCGCTAAGTGAGAATATTTTATGAAATCCTTTAACATTTGTCACAGGTTCTGTTTTCTTAGAGCGCTGCTGCCCTCTTGTGGACGTTTCACACACTCACTGCGCTGAACTTCCCATCTGCCATTGAACACCTAAAATTCAGATGTTTTGCTGTTTGTTTTTGCACATTTTGAACGCCTTACAATTTCGTGACATGCATGAAGAGAAAACATCAGGTCATGCACAGGTAATGTGTTTGATGTGAACGGTTCTTAATGATCAAAAACAAAAGCTGCACTTTTTTTTTGTTCAAATTGATTTGATAAACTAAAACTACCGGCGGTTAGCTTCTTTTTGTGCACTTCACTTTCAGTTTAAGATGGATTTATACAAGAATATGCTTGTTTAGATAATTTATAAAAATTTATTACATGGACATCTGTCAGTTTCTGGACAGAAAAGCATTAAGAACATACAGTATTCTCAGCTGTTAGGTGTCTTAGTTTACTGAAATATGGTGCATTCATGATCTTGTGAAAATAAACCATAATTCACACATAAAAAGTGGAAACAAGTTAGTTCTTGCTATGATGTTTCCAAATCCCTCATGTAAAAATCTCTATCAGTTATCTGATTTATCTGATTAAAGCGGCTGTGTTAAACACACAAAAACGAAGGTTAATTAATCAAAAGCACCTCCTTTCTATTTAAAAAGTGGTGCCTGTGAAAATAAAATTAAGCAATGCTTTTCCACTGATACATTAACAGTAGATGAGAAATTAGCATTTGGCTCAGAGGCAGAGCTTGAGTTGGCTTTTGGTTTAATTTTATGGGGCCAGAAAAGTTTTATAGGAGGGCCTAACCGTGGCTGCAGAAACAACACAGCGTTTATTTGCTTTTAGCACAGATGTGAGCTGAACAGATCACGTTTTCAGAATCCGCTTCAGCTCTTTATGAGGTGTTTTATGTTCAGGTCAGCCTGTTTGAACGGTGCCTGCAGAAAGGGCTGGCCAAAGAAGAGCCGTTTGTCACATTGGAAACACGATACACTGAGTGAAAACAGCAACTGTCTGCCACGTGCATACTGAAAACTGAGAATAGATCACAACGAGTGCGTTCTCACACACCTGTTCCTACCATGGACCACCTGTCCTCTGCATCACAGCTGGAGAGTCAGAGCACAGATGGGAGATTTCCTCATACATGTGAAAAAAGCCACTCAGAGAATCAGAGCTCTACAATTTGTTCTGCTGACACATGCACACAAAATAAAACTCTGTCTCATTAGAACTATGAAGATACCTTTTTGTTTTCCTTGATTCATATGAGTGCACAAGTTTTGATCAGATAAAATCAAGACGAACGTGTTTGGTTATATGAAAGCAGAGACATGAAAGATTGAGCATTTGTGTGGACAAGAAGGTAAATAATGAGGGTGGGATGATATTTCCACACAAAAACACACATCACCTTCAGAAAAAAGCAGCTGACAGAAAACGCCACATATTTCTGAAACATGTCAAATAAAGACATTTATAAAATGAACTGAGACAGAAAATATTTAAACTGGTTGATTTATTTAAACTATTTAAGAGTTCTGCTTTCTGGCTCCTTCATATGAAATATTGTGCAGATCAATAGTACAAGTCTAGAATTTAAACTGTAATTCTATGGAATTCAACTAAACTGAGAGGAAAAATGACTTAAATGTCAAATATCACATTAATTATAATACTCAATGTAAAACTAACAAAATATTTTGTTTATTTTCCTTCTTTTATTTGCTAAGGCCATCTTTTCAGAGGTTTTTGCAACAGATCAATTTCACAGGGCTTTTTGAAGTCGTCCATTTTTGTTTGTTCTCGTTGCGTCCACACTTTCAATCTTTTCTTGCGAGAAGAAAGAGAAATCGATCCACAAAGGCAATCAAGAGGGGATTGATTTTGTTGCAATGTCAGCATGAGACGAAGGTGGACGCTGTTGGCATTTATTATTCCCCGACACATCAACAAATGTCACCACCCATCTTTTGTGTTTCAATACGTCACGTCGAGGGCGAAGCAGAGAGAGAGGAATGACTGGATAAAGAAAAACATCCCGTCTTCCACACGACTCATTTATTACTGTCATTTCTAATAAATGTCTTTGTTTCGTAAGATGATTCTAACCTAAAAAAAAAGACATTTTGTTGTCTTTTCTGTTAAACCTTGATAAAATGCATCATCGGTAATTATGAGGATTATTAAAGACAAAACTAAAACAGTCATTTAAAATGTCATTTATGTCACAATTTTTTTCAAAAAATCTAATACAAATGCTTACATGTCACCACGTAAAACCACATTTTTTTTAACCACAGATGCATTAAAGAGCCACCATACAAAGAGAAAAGGAACTTTTGCTGCTTGGGGGTCGGGGATTGCTCACATGCTCTCAAATCACACATCTATAAAGAGTGTAAACACACACACACACACGCACGCACGCACGCACGCACGCACATAGAGAGAGAGAGAGAAAGAGCTTACATTATACAGCATTCAAGAGGTGTGTCAGTAAAAAATCAGCTTGTGGAGGGAGTTACTTCCAGAATACAGTAAGAGAACAGGTTACCAGCCAGAGTTTACATAAAACACAGAGGTTTTTTTTACAGTTAAGCCAACAATATATAAATATTCTTCATCCAAAGGTCAGTGCAGTGTCTTCTGCTCAGTGGCGCACATTACCCCCAGTCTGTGTAAGACCTGGTCCACTAAATTGCTATCTCCACTTTTTGCACACAAATCTTTTTTTTCTTTTTCTTTTATCAGATTTTTTTTTTTTTTTTTGCATTTTACATCAGGCGTGTCTCAGATCTCAATGCTTTGTACGCATTTTCTGTTTTTATTTATTTATTTATTTTTTTGCCACTTTGTACCTCAAAAGTCCAGCTGTGATGTACAAAAGTTAGCTTTTTTTTAAACCAATTACACAATAAAAAAACGAGATCCACAAATTTACAAATGTCCATTTTTTTCTCTTGAATTCCCTTTTTTTAAGGAAAAAAGAAGGTCACAAATGGAGCACTTCTACTGGATTCCCCTGAAGAGACACATGGCAAAGACCATAGCAAAAAGCTGCAGGAAAAAAAAAAAACAGACATAAAAGTTGGAAAATTGAACAATGCCTCAAAAAAGACAGAAAAAACAAATATTTGGCTAAATACAATCAGGGCTCTTTATTACCTGGATCTACTAGTGATTTCCCTTTTTATTTTATATATTCATTAGCATGTGCTGTCTTTTTCGTTTACATGATATTTGAACTATCTATAACAGATAGTTCATAACTTTTCCAAAAATAATCCCACAACAGACCATATGTACCGCTTGCATAGCATCGGTAATAAAACACATAATTGTATACTTTTTATTTGTAACTGAATCCACATTATAACAGAAAAGTTAAATAAATAAGAATAAAAAATGTTATTGTAGTTCCAGTATTTCCCACCAGATGGCGACCTCACCATTCAAACAGCGTCTATTCATTATTGCTATTCCCAGGTACACGTAGCCTTTGGCTTATGCAAATTTACACATTTCTGAAATAATATTCAGATCCCTGGAGAGGCAAGACAAAAAGGCAACATATTTTAAAAACTCCACCATACCTCAATTGTTAGCACCACAATAGCCAGGGCTCCAGCTACGTAGATGTAGAGCTCAAAGTAGTCGACAACCGCAGAGTAACAGCCCTGCGGACACAAAGATGGCACGCTCAGTGGAGAATCAATAGGCCATAAATTTGCACAATTACAGAGATAGTTAAAGTAACATAACAGCTTCAATTGAGCGAGGCTTGGAACAAAGGCCCGGCTGAGTGAGTGGGAAGCAGGGCCTGCAGCCTCACAGCCCTTTAATGAGAGCTCTTTGTGTGAATGAACACACAGAGAGAGGGACATTCTGGGTATCTCCTCATTGTTCTAATAACATGAAAAACAACAGGTGGCAGAAGAAGAGTGCTGGTACAAGAGCACTATCAGCAGAATTACACTCTAGGTTTGCTTTGCGCACAAGGATTTGGATGAGCATTTTCCGTGAACCGCATCTTATTTTCCACATATTTATGTTTTTAAAATGCTCTATTTTTGAGCTTCTTAAAAACATCATTATAGCCATGTATACACATACACACACACAAACACACACATATGCATAAGCTGCCATCTCAGAGCAGCACTGCACAGTAAGATGATCTGCCATGACACCCAAAACAACAACAAAAAAAGCATTAACAAGTCATGGCAGAGTCAGCCAGTCCAGGAACGCATTTCTCTACTGTTTTCTGCTCTAATTAAGCCTGGAGGTGTTTTAGAAGGAGGGTAAATGGAAGAGGTTGACCTGGCAGATGTCAGGAGTTACCTTGTTATTTCGGAACATCATATTGCCTGATAAGCACTGCTCCTGGCTGGGGTACGCCAGCTCTGCGCTCTGACTGGCACGCTGGCAGCAGGCTTCTGGCACCACATGATTCTGGTTGATGAGCCTGAACAGGCTGTCCTTAAAATCCTCTGGGCTGTTCACTCCACAGCAGTCAAACTGAAAGAAAGGCAGAACAGGAGAGAAGAAGATGATTTTTTTCTTCTGAGTGTGCAGTGACCTGTGGTCATCTGTGTTGTGTGCAGTAAACCAGCATGAACACAGACCTAAATATGAATGACTTGTTTATTTAAAAACGAAAACACCCTGTCACTAAGCTCTAAGGCTGTGCGTTTTTGGAGCCTGTTAGTGGATGATGAGTGGTAAAAGCTTCCATGTTGTAGCCCTCTGCTGTGTGCTTACTGTAGTCATGATGGCGTTCCAAGTGGTGGTGAAGGCGTCACTGTTGTTGTAGCCCTGGTAGCGCCTCTTCAGCTCTTTGGTGAAATACTCTCTGGTCAGCTAAACCAAGGAACAGTAAAACTAGAGGGTTAGTGTCACTGGAGACTTGTCATTAGCTGCGTTTCCATTGCAAATGTGCGCAAAACTTTGTTGATATTCTAATAATGTCGAAAAAACTGTTTCGCAATTAATGTTTCCATTAAGTAAGAAATGCTATTGAAGTCACACATGAATATGTTTGTTCTCACAATAAGTCATTACAAACATGGCAGCAATGGATGTGAACATATAGCATATTGCTACCACAACACTAGCGCTCATCATCAGCTATCAGAGGAGACGTCGGCATCTTATTGAGGCTTTCGAGTGACGAGCCCCTTAGGAGCGGCTACGTATGCAGCGTTTTTGGGAAATTGTAGTCGGTGAGTTTACTACTTTCTTTTACTACTTCGCTGATTTTACTACTACTTTTACTTCCTGTTATCCTCTTCTTCTTCATCTTTTTCCCCAGTAGAAACAGCCGGTTCTTGATCACGTGACTCCCGTGATGCAAAAAAAGTGTTTCAATTGCAGTTTTGCGAAATACTCCAATTTCGATACGGCTGAAAAACCACCTCATCCTAGCGCAAAACCATTTTGTCAAAATACAATTTTTTTCCGAAATTGACGTGTTTCCGTTGAGCAAATTTATTTTTGAAATTCTAATTTGCATATTTTCATGGTCAATGGAAACGCAACTTGTCACTTTAAAAAACCAGAATATTCAGGAAAATGATGTTCATTAAAATTAAAACAGATAAATGACAATAAATGAATTATTCAGACATCCTGAAGTCAAGTTCTGTAAAAACGGTATGACTAGTTATTATCTTAGTTGTTGTAGATTGCTTTTTGAATGACATATGTTTGGAGATGTGGAATTTATTTCTGACTGGACTGATGAGTCAAAAGTTTGTCTAAGAAGGATCTTAACTAGAGGTGAATGCTGCCGTTTTGAAACAACTACATTTTTTAAATCTTTACAGTTCTGTTAATTTCTCATTATACTGTTTTTGTCTGCAGAAATATTATGATAGTCCTGTTCAAAATGCAGCAGGATGTACAGCAGTGATACTTGCTCCTGGTCTGATGCTCCCTTGTAAATAACCACAAAAGTTTATGTAAATGATATTGTAATTTGAAACTGACAAGGGTGTAAAACTTAAAAAAATAGTTTTTGCATGAATAATCATGGAATCTTTGAGATGTTTTTAAAGGGATATATAATGCAAAATGCACCTTTTTAGCCATTAAGTAAATTTGGTTGTGCACTTGGGAGTCTCTAGGAGTGCAGAAAAGTAGAATTTAGTCTCTCCTGGTGCTGCAAAGATATCTTAATACTCTGTTAGGATCAAATAAGGTCTGGACTTAACAACTACAATTTGATCGTCTTCATTCTCCGCTGGCTCTGGGTCAGACTGGCTCCAACATGTAAGTCTGGATGGACAGGTCTTCCCTTGTTGACATCTTTTAATTAATTTGTAAATAAACCATTTCTGCATAGCAAGACAACCGTAACCCCACTAGTAAACTAGATCTCAAACTGGGGGTTGGGTGGTGGTGAAGCGACTTGCTTGGATTTAAAGAGACAGCCTCTAAATGTGAAAATAAGTGAAAAAGGGGCTTGTGGAGTTGCAATAAGGAGACTTTAAAAAACATTGCTGTTACACTTTTTATAGACCCCAACTGAATAATTTAAATGTGAAAAAAGAAGGATTTAAAAGCAGGATATGCCTCCACTTTGGTCTTGGGCCCACTTGGACTAGCCATTAGCTAATTAATCTAGTCAGAATTAAACAGTTTCTCCAAACTGAAGTTATCCAAAGTGCGATCTAATTAATATTTATTGTTCATAACCTTTTCCCAGAATCCCACTCTAAAACATCTGAATTATTTATTTGAGCTTAACTGTTCAAAATGTTTTACTTTATTTTTATAACTGACATTTTGTCATTTCAAAAAAAATTAACTTCGGCTATGTCTAGATTTTTTTTATAATACAGTAATCATTTTTACTTACTGCTTTAATTTACAGTGTTCTGGTCTATAAAAATAAACTTTCAGCTTGTACAGTTTGTTCTGGTTAATTAAACTAGATTTGAATTCTACTTTATAGTTTTTTTAAAGACTGTATAAATACTTTTATAGTACATAGACAAAGAAGTACTAATAAGCTCCATCCTTGGATATTATTTATTTAGACTACAGTAGATCATCATGTTTGTAACAAAACTGTTAGAAGCTTTTCTCAAAAGAGCTGAGAAAATTCTCACAACTGTTAAAAATGATGTAACATGAGGTAAGAGGACAAGAGTAGTTTAAGGAGGAAAGTGAATTCCTCTGCAGTTTACTACGTTGTGCTTTAAGTGATTTTGTTGTTATTCTCAAGGTACACTGATGTTTGTGGTGGTGTATTCAAGAATATATTCAAATTTGAGAAATAAAAAGTACTTGGGGAATAAAAGGCATGATATCTTTAGTTATTGTGTAAATTTTTGCACCGTTTTTTAACAAAGTCATTGCAGGTAATAAGGTACAATCATTAAATTTATATGCAAAAATAAAAGAAATAAGCAAAAAGTGTCAAAATCATTATTTAAAGTAAGAAAGGATCAGTTTGAAAATCAGGTAAGTGTGACGTTTCACCTCCAGGCCTGACAGAATGTGTGGCTACAGATGTAACTTACATGCTCCCGGAATATGAAGGCCAGGATGGCAGCAGCCAGCTCTGCTAAGAAGATGAGGAGGATGAGCATGAAGAACTGCAGTCAGACAAAAGAAGGAAAAAAGAAGCAGAGTTTGAGCAAATGTGACAAGGTGGGTGCGTCGTTCAAAAAGTGCATGTCAAGCTTTAAAAAAATCAAAACAGAAAAAAAAAAAAAATCCCCAGTCTGCCTGAACCCACTTCACTCAGCATTAACTATGCATGAGGTTTGAAGGCAAACTGAAAGGCATTTTGCTCTTCTTTTTGGTTGCTTCCAACATACTGTAGAAGTCCAAAAAACTAAAATAAAATAAAAAAATTAATAAAAAACTGACAGGGAAAATTATCAACACATGTACACAAACAAGTCCAGCAATATAAAATATTTGTCTAGGTTGCCAGCAGACTCACAAAGAGGAGCAGACACTTGTTTTCACGAATGGCTCCACAGCAGCCCAGGAAACCCAGAAGGAAGAGCATCCCTCCCATTCCCAGGATGATGTAGACACCGGTGAAAAGTAAAGGGTTGGCTGCTACGATTTCCCTGAACCCTGTGGGGTCCACCAGCACCCATACCCCAACTCCCAGGAGGAAGGAGCCCCCCAGCTGGAGGAGAAAACAAAACAATCAAACAAAGGTCACAGTATAGACAAAAATATAACTCAAAACATTCAAATAGACATCCAGCAACTGAAAGATGATTTTATCATTAATATCACCTGCTGCTGAAAGCAAAGGCAGAGTGATAATGACTAATTAATTGCATTACTTAGATAAATGCTAAACCTACAAAGAAGACATATCATGTATTCTGTTGTCAGTCAGGTCAGAGTCTGACCCAGAACAGGATTAGAATGAAGACGACGAACCTGCAAAATCGCAAAATTTGTTAGCCGGAAATCTATGACCTTGTTTAGCAGTTATTTAGTAAGTAAAGTGTTGTAATAATTCAGAAAACATCATAGAAAAGAGAGAAAACTAGTCAGATAGAAAAATATGACCCAAACTGATTGTAAATATACTGTATCTACGCAGCACCTGGAGAGACTAAATTCACATTTTTGGCACTCCTAGAGACTTCAAGAACACAATACAGTGTGTTTAAGGGCTAAAAAAAGTGGATTTTGCGTGAGATGTCTCTTTAATAACAGTAATAAAAATGTCTGAGGAGTTAAACTGACAATTATGGATGAAACAAAAGACTGAGCAATAACAGAGACACAGCAGTGCCATTGTGGGGGTCTTGGCAGAGATATTCACCCTGCTTCTTACCTCTCCTCCACCTGAAACAAAAAAATCTGTTCTCCAGCTTCATTTTTTCCCCCATCCTTCTTTTCACTCAAATCCTATCTGCCACCAGCATGGGAGGACTTGTGTGATTAAGGAAAGTGGATATTGAGGTAGGGGAGAGATCTAAGCCTCTAACGTTTCTATTTTAATTCTCTTCTTGCTGTAGAATGAAAAAAAAAAAAAAAACAAGACTCAAATGATCTCAGCTACTAAAAAATGAGACCCGAGAAGAACAGGAAGCCATTTTGACACCTTTCAGTTTTTAAAAATGCTGTGTGAAATGCTAACCACTAAGCTCATTCTTTGCCCTGCTGGTTGCTTTATGAACCCAGCCTTGAACAGCCACATCCGAGCGGCTTGGTTGTGCCTAACAAAGCTGGGAAAAGAGACAAACCTCCTTTATGCCGACCCTCCCCCGTTCCTCCGAGGCTTCAGACTAACAGGATTACCCCTGATTGTCTTATCAAGACTGATAAACTCAGGTGCCAGTCACAAACTCCATATGGCACCGAGTGCCTCAGATGTGTGTCAGCATGCTAAAATTTAATCAAAAGAGAATTTGATAGAATCAAGATTGCCTCATCTAATGAAATGCAAATGTGGGTCCATTAGTCAGTTGGGCTGGGCTCGGCTGGGCTGGGAGCAGCCAGGAGCCCATCTTCACTCATTAGACTAACTTCAGGCTGTAGCCAGATTACGTGTCTGAGAAGGAGCTGAAAAATACTCACGAAGATAAGAAAATTGAAGACAAACATGAGGTACTTGATGCAGCTGAGGCAGTCCCCCTCCATGGTTGTCCCTCGAGCTGAAGCCTCTCCCTGCCCCTGAAAAAAACAACAACATAAACATGTCCCATAAATCTTGCTACATGCTGACAGTATTCCCATTTTGCTGCATGCTAAATATACATTAGGATAATAACGCACAATATTACTGTGAAAGGACCTGCTCCCACTTTTAATGAGTTTTGCCTGGAAAACACAGACATCTCAACTCACTGGTCTCAAATAAGTTATGAGCTTTAACACAATTTAATACAGCTCGTTTTATTCCCAAGTATAAAACCAACTAAGCACTTTGCTGCTCCAGATGAGTGGTGTCCCTGGGCTCAGCATGACCTGTCTATCTCTGAACATTTTAAGGACATAAGTCCTGACTGAGTTTCTTTATGCATTAACCAACAGAGGCTGACCTTTAGTCTGGAGCTTCTTCTTGTTAATGTAATGAAAGATGAGAGGCCCCCGCACCCGTCAGCTAACCCCATACCTGACAGAAACACATTTACTTGATGAAGGTCTGTCCTCAAAGCACTCGTAGATAATGAGGAACACCTCTGTTGCTTTAGAACATGTGTGAGTATCCATGACCCTGTACTGATATGAAGTAACTAAATAAGGTAGAACACATGGTTAAAAAAAGAATGCAGTGATTTGAATTCATGTTTTCAAGTGGAAACTCTATGAAGGTGACACATACTAAAGCAGAGAAATGGTTTGATTTTTGTAAATTTGTTAGTAAAATGTTGAGACTGGTTTATCACAGCGTTGAATATTTTTTTCTTCAAATTTTAGCTGTTCAGGTGAACTTCTCTGTTTTTATTCTGAAAAGCAACTGTTTTTAGCTGTTGTCTGGTTTGGACAGCAAGCAGACCAGTTGGGCACCTAGATTATCATCACCAGCCTTTATTGAAGGTGAGCACTAAAGTCTGTTAGCAAAATAATAACCAGAACCATTGAATGAATTTTAATGAAACTTCCAGAAAGTAATTACAGCTGAGCTGATTCAAGATGGCCGCCACAATTAATCAACTACAGAAAACGTAAAAAATGGCTATGACTCACCCACTTCTACAGCTAATGTTTGGTGTGGTTGTAATTGAGAGTCATTCCCAACACACATCCTGAGTCCTAACAGATCACAACAGGACTTTGTTTCAAACGTGGGTATAACTACTGAAGTCAACCCTGTCTGTTATCAAAATATGTCATGAAACAGTTCATAACGGCTCATAATGACAATATCAGAGGAATCATTAGATGCACTTCTACAAGTGGTTAGCTTTTTCATTTTAAGATGGTGTAAGATGTTTTACTGATTTCTATCAAGCTTTACTTCATATATAAATATTTTTATTGAGATATTTAAAAGATTTTCATAATTAAAATGTGATCATCCTGTCTATATTACAGGGAATTTTACTGTGCTTTTAGAAGGATATCAACAAGTCTATGTAGGCAATCACGCATTACACTAAACAACACACACACACATCTAATGTTCTCATTTCTTAAAGTTGCAGGAACTGATGTCTGAGGAGAGGAAACTTCCTTATTTACCATGATATCATTTCCGGGGCCGTGACTTGACTCTGATACAAAACTCTATTGTGACATCGCTTGTGGCCATTTCCTCAAACTCTGAGCCAGAGGGTATTCTGAGTGAATGGCCCACCCGGTGCTGTGAGGTGGTAACAATGTGTGCAAATAAATATTCAAGTCTGATATCGGAAATGGTCTCCTGCATAATTTCAGCCTTTCATTTGAGCACATGTCTTTCAGCAGCCACCACAACTAATTGACCTTCTCAGCCAATTTTATAGACGCTGAGCTAGAATTTGGAACTGCAGAAGCAGAGTGTCAACCTCATTATCTACTTCTAGCACTACCAGATCATGTGAGAACTTTGTTCAAAACTTTGGCATGCAGGACAGCAGGTGATGTTTTCCTTCAAGGAATGCAAGTTTAATTTTATGACAGAATCATGTTCATATAATATCTGCTCTGTGTGGTTTGTCCTGCTGAAATGTCCCATTTGAAATAGTAAGCTGCTCCAAACACCTTATATGCCACTCTGCATTAATGGTAGCCTTGAAAACGTGCAAATTTCCCACATGCAACCCCTACTGTATCATCACAAATACCATCTTTTGAAACCAGAACTACAGTATGTCCTTCTACTAAAGCCCAAAGGATATGTTTGCTGTGAATTGCAATTTTTAGATTCAGACAGTATGCTCAAAAGACAATATTCCCACAAGCACAGAGGGAGAGGCAGAGTTTCTGCATCTCGTTTATATATGTTTGTTTCTTTGCATTGCAGAGTCATATTTTGCATTTATGGGAGCAACAACTGGCTGTGTTCAATGGTAGCAGTTTAAGTTCTTGAGTCCTTAAACTTTAGTTACTAAATCTTAAAATATTTTGTAAAGAGTGGGACAAACTTGTTGACTACTTCTAACAAGGTTCTTATTATAACCAGGCAGGTTAGAGATCTGTTGCCATTTGATTTCATTTTGAGTAAAATGTACATTTAGTGTTTTATTCTCAGGGTTTTACAGGGTTTCTCCAATGTTTCATCCACCCATCCAATATTTCCAAATGTGAACACTGAAACATAAATTCATAAACAAAACTAGAAGCACTCAGAGAGTGCAAACCTCCGCCAAGACCAATTTCCCCCGTCCTGTAAGAGTTAATGCACAAAAGCAGAGATGGAAACACATTTGTCGATTAAGTTCTGATGTAGTGAACATTTAAGCAGGCTGTATGCACGGGATTTCTTCTGGTGGAGTCCGATGTGAACAAAAAAAAGTCAGACTCGTCACCCGACGTTATTCATCGTCAAACTGGTGTTGGATTAAGCTCCTAAGTTTTCATCAGTCACATTTCACCATGTAAAACGTCTGTTTTATCCCCTTGTATGAGTTTGTAATGGTTTGACTCTCTTTATAAAGTGCTTCCTGGCTCCCCCCGTCTCCAAACTTTGAGGCCTGGCAGCTCTCTGTTTACAAGCCTAGTAGCAAGAAACTGTTTTGATTGGTTGTTTGGAGATGTGGTGTGTTTGAGGAAATGGGAAAAATAGATTTCATGGTGCAGTCATGCACTTCCTGGTCACAAAACATTCTGTAAATGCTCACCAAATGCGTAAAAATGCACACATTATGGCAAAAATTATTCATTATTAAATGTAGTTTTAACATTACTTTTATAAAGTTTGAAGTCCGTGCTGTCCAATCCAGCTCACTGTTTTTTACAGAGGCCCTGTGAAAGCATCACAGCTTTGCCAATCTCAGAGTGTTAAAAGAAAAAAGATTCCTGTATCCGCATCGTGATCTGGAACATCACCAAAATTTAAAGGTGTGTTCCTCGGCCCAGTACCCACATGTGTTAAAAATGTCAGGACAATCAGTCCACAAGTTTTTGAGTAATGTTGTCCACAAACAGAACGACAAACAGACATACGCAACCAAAAACATTACTTCGCCCTTGGCGGAGGTAATAATGGCAAGCCACAGTTTTGTTATGAAATCTACTAGAAAGTTGCAGACTTTATTAGTTTTTAGATGCAACATAAGATGTTTGTGGCATTTGCCATGAAGCTATTTTTTACATTTTAAGTTTCTGTAATTTTACTGTTTCACTTTTAGGCTAATCATATAGCACACTGTGACCCCAAAGCTTTTTCTGAAGCAAACTTTTAACTTTTTCAGTTGCAAAGAATCCAGTCTTTTTCCCTCAGGGAGGACAGAAACTGTCTAAGAATTCGTTTCCATATGTGCAGCAAACACTGAAGTAGAAACAATCTGTAGGGCAGCTATAATTTCAGTGTCACTGAAGGAAAGAAATTAATTATCTGGCAAAAATGAACCTCCCCACTCCCTGCTTTGTACTACTGATTAATAATTTGCTTCTTCATAGTGGCAGAGGGGACTGAGACTCAGTAGCAGGCAGATTACAAAGTGATTTCTCATTGGAATTGTAAACAGGTTTAAAAACTACACAGTGATGACCTCTAAACTGGAGAAAAAATGTTAGAATGTCTTTCTTTATTTGTTTTGTCTGTAGTTGGCAGACATCCACACGATGTCATCTCGTAATAACTGGGCAGTCGTGCTGCTCCTTAATGGACTCCTCTGGGTAATCTCTCTGCCTCTCCGAGCAGCAGTGAACTCTGGGTTATGATCAATGCCAGGTTCCATTCCTGTTTGTTTCCAAAGCCGCTCTGCTGTCACTCAGACGTGACTCCACTTTGACCTTTTCATTCGTTTTCTTTCTGTTCACAGTCGAGGCAGGTGAACAAAACCTTCACCGAACTCCTATCTGGGACAAATATTTAGGTCCTCATTGGTTTATTCAATAAAAAAGAAAAAAGAAAAGCGTCATCTTTCCTAACATCTTTTTGTTTTAAAACTAACTGCTCAGGTTCATTTTTTAGTCTGCTTCTCATTATGATGTGCTGCGTTACAGAGAAAGCTTTTTTTTGTTTCTCATTGTGAGCATGTTTAAGTTACTGTGACAATGAAATTGAACGGTATTAAAGATACAAAGACCCTCTTTGTCTGCAACAGGAATGATTTAACAAACAATAGGAGCAATTACTTTCTTTTTCTCTTTTCATACCATGACAGAGGGAAGTGGTTTAGAGCAATGGTTAAATACTTTCTGTAAATCATAATGATATGCTAAGGTATTGATTACCCTCAGAGAGATGCTCTGAGAGCTACCAACCACTTCACTGCCTGGGATGGATTTTAATTAACGCCGCCTTTTCCTAGACCTAACTGAAAGGCCTAATGAGGTCACAGTAGGTTTTAATTGAGATTTGCATAAATTACCGTCTCGCAGAACGCAGCATAAATGGGCCGTTCTCATCCCGACAGCTCCCTGCTGTCAATCCCAAGCACCTAAGATTGCGCACCGTATTTCATCGAGCATGTCCGCCGGCTGGAGAACCCCTCAAAACAGAGCTCGCTTCTTTTAACCCCAAACAAAATGTCTGATCTCTTTTCAGTCTTGCTCTTTCTTTTTTTTTTTTGTGCTCTGCA